CACTTCCATGCTCGGCAGATGCGGCTCGTGATCTCCCGGTCGACCTTCCCATCCGCGCAGATGGTACGTCCGAGGTACACAAACCGATCTGTCTGCTTGTACGTCTGGCCAGCGGCGCTGACCGCGAACGGGCGTTCCCCCAGCCCTTTCGGTAGCATGCACATGATCTCCGTCTTTGGCTCCGATACCATCAGTCCGAACAGGCCGGCCACGCGCACGATGATGGACATCATCTTTTCGAGGCTCTCCGGCGTGAGCGAGACGATGGCCGCGTCGTCAGCGTAGAGCATGTCCCACAGGGCCTCTGCGACCGTCACCATCATTGCCTTCTTCCCCGCCGACCTGCCCCTCTTGCCCGTGCACTCCACTCGTGTTGCGATCTTGATCATATCAGGTGTGTCTATCTCTGGAAGACACGCGAACCTGACGGTGGCATTCAGCTTACCGTATGACACAAGATAACACACCCCCTGGACCGATTTCAAAGCTCGATTACTCCACGACGAAAAGGATGCATGAACGAAATGATACATTTTCGAAAAGCTCTCGACGAGATGGTTTCAACGCCGCCGTTTTCGGCGCTGTGATTGTTCCTGCAGTTGAAAAATCGAGCTTCGAAAATCGGTCAAGGGGGTGTGTTATCTTGTGTCATATACGGCATACAACACAAAAGAGTTCACGTTCTCCCCCTGTTCCATCTCCACAACTATCTACTCTTGGTAAATACACATTTCGTTTTTCGCTCTCTATGCCTGCCTGGCAATCAAGCAAGCAATGGGGCGACGGCGCATCTGCCTACATACAACGACGCCGACACGTGTAAGACTCCATGTACACAACTGGAAACCATTGGTGGGATAGCCATAATTCTGCCGAAACCCAACAAGATGGATCATAGCACGCACGCACGCACGCGTGAGCTACAAAAAAACACGCAAAGGCACACATCGAAGCTGCTCTACGAAGAAACTGCCAGCAGACAACGCTCGCGAACGAAACACCGCCGACCAGGGGCAGCGAAATTCGAAAGAATCACGAGTATGCACAGGAAGGACGCCCATCTCAGCATCTCTGGCCCTCCCGCCAAGAAACACTACCGGTAAGCGGCGATTTGCCTTCGCTCTCTGAACTGTATCCAACTGCTGACCACTCGCCGTGTCAGCGGCTGCTGCGTGAAAATTGTCGCGTACAACGAATTCTTTGTGTGCGGCCGATGGCGGAAACAAACCCCTCCGCACTCATTCCCGGAGCAACTTTCCCAAGTACACATCCCATTTATTGCAGACGGAAGAATTAGTCCCCAACAACCCGAAACGTACGCCAGGCATGACCCGTCATCGATCCCGCCGCCATCAATCGCCCCGAGGTGCGTGCGGACGGAATTTATCTGCAGCGAACAATCATGCCTACTGTATGCAGCCACAAAATCGCCGAAGGGGCCCACGAAAACACATCCTTCCATCGTTCCGCCCGGGAGACTGCAGGGGAAACCATGTAGTCACAACTAACACCCCCGCGCAGAGAGTTCCACCCACCTCTGAATGATCTCATGCAACCCCCTCGAAGAGGCTCACATCACCAACGAGACAGAAGTAGCTACAAGACTTTCCGGAGGGAGACTGCCACCACCTTGCATAGTCGCCACGACCAAGCAGCAGGGGTAGAGGAGTACTGAGCGAGGTGCTGATAAAATCGAAAGGCACTCAACCCCACCCACGGTATAGAAAATTGCGTGACCACGGCTACTGAAAAAAAAAAGCAAAAACACATACAGGAAGGGAGACACACCAACCGTAGACCCAATCTCGTGGTTGAATTCCGGTAGACATGAGCCCAGCGCGAGGACAGGGGCGCTTATGTAGAAGCGAGCCGTCCCAGAAGGCACGCAAACAATGTTACAGCACGCGCCAAAAACCGAGAAACCGGTTGTCAACAAGTTGATGGTTCGACTTGTACGAAACACTAGAACCTGCACCCTTTCCCACACCGAAGCCTATGTATCCCCGTTGCTTTCCCCCACTGACTGATCAAACAAGGAAGAACGGGTGAGCGACATAACAGTGTCGGTGTGCTCTGTACCAGAATCGGTACACTACACGTTCCAAAAAATAGAGCCCGCTTGTTCGCAACTTGACCTCCCACTGCTGATGCTGCTGCTGCTGCTGCTGCTGCCTACCTACCTGGCGATGTCTCTGAATACCCAACAACTGCCAATATCGCCCCGAAGCTAAAGCAGACACACGTCTATCCGAACAAGGCTATAATTACGTGACCCTGTACCCCACACCCGTCTCCCATCTCTCTCGTGACCCACCAAACAAAGTATAACGATACGTACGATCAAGTTAAGCTAACCACCAACGACACGGTGAAGGTCATTCATTTTCCACAACGATGACAAAAACAACAATAAAGGAATCAGGAGCTCTTGCAGTTGGCGTACGTCGGCCGTCGCTATTTCCTCAACGATAACAAAAACAATAATGAAAAAATCAGGAGCTCTTGCAGTTGGCGCACGTCGGCCGTCGCTATTTCCTCAACGACAACAAAAACAATAATGAAAAATCAGGAGCTCTTGCAGTTGGCGTACGTCGGCCCGCAAGCGACGGCCGTAACAACGTACAAGAGGAGGAGCGCCCCCAATGCCACCGCGGAGTAGAATCGAACCCGCTTCCAGAAAAGGTGGTTCTTCAGCCGTTTCGCCGTGTTCTCGAATCGAAACGCCTGACAAATAGTACGACGAAAAACGAAAACGGCAAAGACGAAACGATAGGCACAGCGGTCGAGGAAAACGGTTGGTCTTGTGCCCACTGTCAGAGACAACGAGAAGGCTCAGAAACGATGCTCGGTTTCGGTGATACTCGGAAGGAGAGACTGTGCGCGGGGGGGGGAGGGGGCTCACACTGCATGGGCGGGCGGGTAGCGTACGCGAGAGCAGGGGGCAACGAGGCTGAAAACATCACCCAGTCGACACTCACGATCAAGTGCAAATCGGAGAACTTCAGAGACACGAGAACAAATTCCTGATGAACTCCCGCTCGGTCTGCCTCCTGCGGGACCCCGCCTGGTGGATCAAAGCATACACCCTAAAGTGTAGATTGGCGCCTGGACTACATTGCACGAACACAAACACAAACTCACACGCACAAACACAACCGTTTTGATCAGAAAGCGTGTTCGCGATTTTTTCATCCCGCTGTAAGACCGGCGTCTTTTCCGTTGGTCAGCCGGTTAGCTCGCCGGTGCTAGTTCAAAACGCACCGATGCTGCTTGGTGGTGTTGAGTCTTCTCCTCGTGCTTCAAAAGTACTTCTAGGACAGCAGTGTTGCCCAACTCCGTCCCCCCTCCCCGCGGTCGGTAGAACCCTTCGACTAGAAACCGTGTTCACGTTTATTTCCCCGGTTTGTAAGATTGACGTCTTGTCATTGACCACGCGGTTAGCGCCGTCGATACCAATCAAAGAAACACATACACACACATGAAACCTCATCAAACAGGCCTCACCAAGCTCCTGCACGCACATGACCACACCATGTCGTTTCTGTTCGAGAACGTTTCTCGTGACGAGTCTTCCTCAACGCCTAAACAATATTGAGAAGGGCTACATGCTATAGGGGGACGAGGCAGCAGCAACCAATGGCCAGCTTACCACCATTCCAAGCCCTCAATTTCTGGCGGATGAAGAAGTGTGTATGCTGGTGTTCACCTAGAAATACATCATTCCACTTGTCCGCCGCAAACTACAGTCGTCGGCCATAAATAGACACATCAACACGCACCCACAAAAATCCACAACGCCGAAATCATCCCTGCGATGTTGCTGATCACCGAAGACACCCACCACGCACAAAAAATAAATAAAAATAGGCAAGGGTGGTGACACCATGCGGCTAAACTAAAAAACACACCACTGCTGTTTCAGCAACACATCTCGCTAACGCCCACGACGAACGCGAACCGAGAAGCATGCCTTGCGTTGTCGTCGTCGTGGCCGAACGACGCTCTGGTGCCGTGAGCTCACCTGCTGCTGCAAGTTGTCCGTCTTGTCCACGAGCAGCTCCAACCTCTCCCCCCTCTCCAACACCAGCTCCACGGACGCTACCATCACGTCCTTTACCTCGTCCAGCTTCTGCTGGGTCGCCAAGACCTACACCGTGGGAGCGGCAAACAGCAGCGGCAGACAACCAACAGCGCGAAGAACGAACAGGTGCGTGCGTGAGGACGGGTTGCCGCCGCGGTCTCACACCAACACGTGGTACACGAGTTATGCGTTCCCCTTACAACAACGTCGTTTACATGGCGTGCTGCGGCGTTTGAAGGCGTCAAGAGCCCGAACCGGCATCAGCACTAGCTCGCGTGACTTCTCGGCTAGCGCGCGCTGGATAAAGAGGGCAATGCGGACGAAGCTGCTCAAGCACTCAAGCCTTGCATGAGCTCGCGGCCGCGAACGTATCTTGCACTAGAAAAAACGCCCAGCCAACTATAGCTACCCCGGTGACACCAAAGAGATGCTAGTGCTCTAACTAACCTGGTCACCGTCCGGCGAGTTGAAGACGTCCATCTGGTTCTCCAAAGTCCGGGAGAAATCCTCGTTCATCGCGAAGGCTGCCGCCGTTGCGCCTCTGCACAAGACACACACGACCAATCACAACAGCGATCACAACGACGATAGGATTAGAGGAAGCAACTATGCTGTAGGTGCGCGTCTTCCCCACAGCACTGGCAGCAAACGCCCCACGGCCGAAACGGCAGCAGGAGCGGGAGCAACCAGAAAAAAACTCATCAAAACAGGAGAGGCAAGTGCTAAAATCCATCCATCAGAGCGGCCTTCATGGGGTTGACCGCGGCAGTAAATAGCGAGGCCATCGGTTTCCCGCGAAGGAGGCACCCTGCCGAACCCCCCCCGGCAACTTCGCCAGCAGCCAAATATGTAGATGTAGACCAATCTGCCGTGCAGCAACCTGTTGTTCCTACTTACACCATACATAACCGCCAAAGTAAGCGTCTGGGGGAGGAGGAGGGGCGGGGGATCTCAAAGAACATGTGGAGCGCTATCGCACGTGTACGGTGAACAGCCACGCCGCCACAACACAGGAAAACAGACAGTGGTGCTGGGGCAAGACTCCCAACACTCGTAAACAACCCGTCAACATAAACGCCTTCCTGCCACCATCATACAAAAATACAAGCAAAAAAACTATCTCACGTGACGCACCTATCCCCGTACGTAGCCTGAAACCGGTTCTTGATTTCTTGCAGGAAGGCGAAGGGTATCCGCCGGCGGCTGTCCTCGTCCGCCATGCACAGGAAGGTTAGCCCGTCGTCTACTCGGTAGTGGAAGACGTACCTTTTGGAGGGGGGGGCGCACACGGCGCACAAACGTTTATAATGTTAGACGAGCAACAAGAGCGCGAGCAGCATCGCCAAGCATGTTTCATTTTTCCCGAACAAGTGGTGATCAGCTTCGTGCTGCTAAAAGTTACCACAGGCCGCCATCGTCATGCAACGCCAAGCAGCAGCAGCAGCAGCAGCATGCTGCTCCATGCAGGAGGTGAGCCAGGGGACTTTGACGCAGGTACACGCTTCCACCCTGCGGTTGACCATCTTGTCTCTTCGATACGGGGGGTCGTCCTCCGCCATGATGCGGGCGTTTTGGAAATGAAGGTTTGGTTACTAAATGAAGGTTGGGTACTTCACCTGTTCTGGCTATCGCCGCGAAGCGGTACTCCCACTAAGCTAGACACGTGTCATACGCTACGACACGCGTCCAGCTTAGTGGGAGTATCGCTTCGCGGCTACAAACAGAACAGATGAAGAAACCGAACCTACACTACAGAACCGCCCGCATCATCGCAGAGGCGAATATTCCAGACAATATCGCTGGCCTCAGCGGGGTGAGCGCGAGGAAGGTGGAGCAGAAGACGTAGCGTGATAAATATTTCGGGTGAGCTCAGCTCCGGTTGTGGTGTGGAGTTTAAGCAGCTCTCCGCAAAGGCGGGCCGAGAAGGAAACACAAGTTGCTGTAGTCGGTGTGCTTATGCTCGCTAGAAGATGAAGCCACTCAATCACGTGTCGCCGAGCTCGCAACGGGACGCCTAACGAATCTGCACCGCACGGAATTCCCAAAACAGCCACAAGCGAAGAAAAAGACAACACGGAAGGCGGCGACGGTCCTTGACAGACAACAGAGGATCGGGTTTTCGATCAATGTGTTACCCACATGCTTGAGCTCAGCAATATTAGGATGAACATGACGCAAGCACCGGCAACTGAGAGGGAGGGAGGGAGGGAGGGAGGGAGGGAGAGAAAAGAGAGAGAGGCAGAGATAGAGAGGGAAGGGAGAGAGAGGGAAAGGGAGAGGGAAAGGGAGGGAGAGGGACAGGCATATATATATATAGATAGATATAAGTAGAGGCAGGGGGGGGGATAGAGCAGAGAGGCAAACAAAGGGCGGAAAAGACAGGCAAGGAGGGAGTACCGCTTTCAAACCGAGGTAGCTTCTCAAAAAATAAGGTGAATCCTCGTTGCCCTACTATCCACGCCGTACTCGTGCGCGCGAAACTCACTGGTCGTAGACGTACGACATCTTGCCATCCTCCGGCGCAATCTTGCCAAGCAAAACGCGCGTGATCGTCGGGAAGTTGCCCGTGGTGAAGGTGAACTCCGCGAGCACCGTCTTACCCCTCGCGACCAACGAGTAAAGCTGAAAAAAAGAAGAGAGCGAAACAACGCAACATCAAACAGCAGGGGCGAAAGAGGTGGGGTGGTAATACGTGAATACCACAATCGCCTGCTACATACTAAATAGTAGGGTGGTAGTGGGAGCCGGCGTATATTCTCTTCCACAGGTAGAGTGGACACGTGCCTGCAAGCAAGCGCTGATTCCATTTTGCTGAAGACATGTTTAAGTTACAGGTTTCCGAACCTCGAACTGTGGGCGACCGCTGCTTCTCCACATCCTCAGTCCGACCCCACCTAAAGGTTCGGGCTTGGCTGGCGTGCACTGGGTTCTAGATCGCCGTTTCCGCCCCAAAAGTAGCTTGCAAGCACATCCCGATTGCTGCCTACACCGGCAACTATGCGTGTATGCCACATCGACGGTGAAGCATAATCTTGATTGCGGTCCGTGGGAATTGCTACCAGCCCCCCCCCCCCCCCCCCCCCCCCCCCCCCCCCCCCCCCCCCCCCCCCCCCCCCCCCCCCCCCCC